GCCACTTTATATTGTAAGGTTACCAAAAAAATAAATTAGCTAAAAATATACGTAGGTACCTACCTACCTTGGCGGTAAGGGGCGGGGGAGGTCCCAACTTGACTGCGCCCTTGCAAATGTCAATCAGTAATATCAACCTATTACCCTGGCCAAACATCAAGTACCTAGCGCCTTTCTAAATAGAGAGTATTTTTGTGACGTGACTATTTTTGCTAGGCCAAGACCAATTGAAGGACCCTGGTTTGAAGGAAGACCCTTGGTTCGGAGAGGTCATGACCCCCGTCCCCCGCCGGTTTCTACACCGACGCCTGTAGCGATATGTCAGTGATTGCGAAGAGACGGAAGAGACAAGACAAGAGACGGTTCCACCGACCATCCGATCGGTATCGGGTCAAATCTGGAGTTCCCGCCGCACTTAACGTAAAATGGTTGGATGGAACCTCAAATTGAAAATTATCTAAGCGCCAGCAACGATGATTGATGACTAGAGTCTGATCAACGATGATTATAGAATCTGAGTAGCGAATTGATTGAAAATGGGCTCAAAAATAAATTTGAAAGGGGGAAATTCCCCCTTCCCTCTCTAGCCGTTCACACACAATTTGAAAGGGGAGCGGAATTTTCGAAGGGGGAAATTCCCCTTTTCCCCCTTAAGAAGTTACCCTGGACTCATGTGTATACACTGAAGACTATGTGACGTCATTCTACAATGAAAATATTGGAATAGGCGGACCCAGGTACCTGAGAAAGGGTACATACCTGGGTCAATCAAATCTCACAATATAAATCGTCATGTAGGCTGCCCCCGCAAAATATAATGATATTCGTCGTGTTCGTCGCATATAAATACTAGGTAATCATGCACGAAAGGCGCTGCCAATTAAATCGCCTTTAGACCTCTTATACCTATTAGGTCGGTTTGACGGAAAACAACATTTTTCTCAATAACTCAAAATCTATGCATCCTGGCCCTATGAGCTCAAGGTGGCCATTGGTACGAAGGAAAATAAAGATAGTGAGTGCACATTGCACAAAGCAGCAGAGTATGTACAGCAGCGGTTCAGCCGGGAAGGCTGGTGGTTCGTCTTGCCCGCTGGGCCGTCTTACCCCACCTTCTCCTACGATGTAGGTATGCGTCTATTCAGATAGGTACGTCACTGAATCATAAAAAAGCTGCGGCAGCCGTAAGATATTTTGTAGCGCAAGTGTATCACTCATAATAGCACCTTTTCGAGCGGATCAGTTTCAACCATTATTTCCACTTCTTTGATAGCTTCAGAAATTGAATATGGATTTTTATCGCGCAGAAGTTAGGATAGGTATACGTGCAAAGGACTTATGTTCAATGATAGTTTACTTAATCCGTTTTCTTTCAGCACTGATCTAAAGAACATTCGCCAGTGTATTTAATTTAATTCATGGAGCGGATAAAGTAGCATCGTGTGTCCTTAGATCACATATAAGGAGATAAATAAAAACATTTAAGGCGGTTACATAAAATATAGACTGCTCCAGTCCTAGCACGCAACCTTTATAATCTTCCGTGTTACGGCATCACCTGAGTTGCAGCTCTACCTCCCACACCGACACAGTGATGGCTGGGCTGTGCGGTCTGTGCTGTGGGCCCAGCCCGGCTGACGGTCCCGCCGGTACCAGTTCCCCGGCAGCCGGCGGCGGCAGCGGCACCAACCCGCGCGTCTTCTTCGACATGACGGCCGACGGCGAGCCCCTGGGCCGGATCGTCATGGAGCTGCGCGCCGACGTGGTGCCGCGCACGGCCGAAAACTTCCGCGCCCTCTGCACCGGCGAGCACGGCTTCGGCTTCAAGGGCTGCTCGTTCCACCGCGTCATCCCCGAGTTCATGTGCCAGGGCGGCGACTTCACCAACCACAACGGCACCGGCGGCCGCTCCATCTACGGCGACCGCTTCGAGGACGAGAACTTCACGCTGAAGCACACCGGTCCGGGCATCCTGTCGATGGCCAACGCCGGGCCTAACACCAACGGTAGCCAGTTCTTTCTCTGCGTGGCCAAAACAGAGTGGCTGGATGGGAAGCATGTGGTGTTCGGCGCCGTCACGGAGGGTATGGACGTCGTCAAACAGATAGAGGGCTACGGCTCGTCGCCCTCGGGCAAGACGTCCAAACAGATCATCATCCAGGACTGCGGACAGTTGTAGGTCGGAGGTGTAAGCGACAGGATGGTGGCTCACACCGCCCTGAAAAGACTGACTCAACGGAGTCGAATGCATTGTGCAGCGTGCGCCGTGCACTGCGTAGTGTGCAAAGCTGCCTGCGACTGAATGGCTCACCGACTTATCCATGCCTCAAGTGTCAAATGGGTTCGAGAGCTGTACCCATTTGTGCCGTGTGCCGTTTATTGCGATTTGAGCTTGCAAATGGTATACATTTATTTATACAGTCCACATGAATTTGAGTAAGATAGCTATTATCTCTAATGACCGTTTTTACGGTGTCAAATATATGTAAATGACCGTCTCGCTCATTGCAATAATACCTACCTATAGGGGATAAATGTCTCAAGTCAAGACCCATATCCCTCGCCCGCACATGGGGGGGGGGGGTGGTTGCCACCCCCCCCCAGGCAGTCTTTCTGCTCTGCACTCAACATTTTTAGAGCTAGAAGGCTGATTTTTCGTATAGCTGCTCGTCTATCCTTTCTTGATGTCCACTGAAAATTTCAAGTTTCTGTGATTTTTGGTTTCGGAGATATGAACTTGTTTTTCAGGTCATGTCATGACCCAAATGGCCAATTCTCAACATCTTGCGTTTGCCATGGGCCTTGTGAGCTTTTGACACCCTGATTTCGGCCTTTTTTGCCAGTCTTACCTCCCACCTATCATGGAACATGTTGTTCGACGATGTACAGGGGTCAAGGTCAGGGTCAAGGTCAACCTAGGTCATCTAAGATAATTGCGTTTTAGGCAAGCTGAATTTACTTTTTGTGAAGTTTTTTTACTGCATTTTTGGTAAAAGCTTCTCAGATCATGATTTCATGTGATATGGACCCAAAAACAATCGGTGCACACATCAGTATACACACAGACACACACAGACATACAAACACATATAATTGACCTTGACCTAACTTGACCTGAAATGACCTCAGCAGCAAAATTCTGGTCGGATAGTGTGACAAAGAGGTTCTAGCTGGCTTGGCACCAGAAAACAGCATCGTCATCGGTATTTGATAAGCAGCGCACTTGATATCCAACGGTTACCCAAAACAGCAACATTTTTTAGTTTGACCTGACCTGGAAGGTCAATGACTGACCTGAGAAGGTAAAACTGGGTATCATTGGATTCGTCTCTTCCCAAAGAATCTTTTTGGTCTTTACTGCTAAGCTCTATCTCCAACAGGAACGAAATGGCGCGGGGGGGTGGCAACCACCCCCCCCCCCCATGTGCGTTCTAGGATGGGAAAATGGCATGTGCGGGCGAGGGATATAGAGGGCTGCGTTGACTTTAAAAGTTTAACCGTCCTTGACTGAGATAGAAGTGCTATGGACACTCGAAGTTTTAATGTAGGTCACGGGTGCATTTAAATTATTCAGCATTCAATTTTCAAAAAGCATCTAAAAACATTGTCTCTGACTTCAGAGTGCTTTAGAATTGTATTCGTCCGAATAAAACTTAGCACTTTATTTTCTCCCACTGAGTTCAACTAGATAGATCGCCAAGCCGACCCGAATTTAGGTCACCAATGTAATAGGCATAAGCATTTGTGCCAAAAAAAAACAGGCCAAAAACGTCTGCTCATCATCAACCTGACTGGAATGCAGTCCAACGTGCACAACAACAGCGTGCGGGCTATGCGAAAGGTTATTTTATGCTTTTGTTAATTTGCACTGTAGGTGACATCGGACTGAGCCTCTCTGAAAAACAGTTTTGCGCGGATTGTCTCTGAAAACGCAAGCGTGGGCAGTAACTTCCGACGACACTGATAAACCGATCTCTGTTGCAGGATCAAGCAGGCAGTTTTGCAGCTCAGCGAATGGAATGAGACCGGGGCGGTGGCATGGTCATGGCTGGAAATATGTGACCGCAGCCGTCAGGCTAGAAATGTGATCGCAGCGGTCAACTCAGCAACACCGACTTTCGGGGGTTGAGTTACCTGTACCGCCACGTTAGTCATTGAAACGGGCCGTCAACAGGCTGCTGCAACGCCGGTAGCAACAATGTGGGTTCTATGTATGTTGCTAACCATTACAGGCCAGTGAAGCATAAAATGACGAATTTATCGTTCTTTCCGTTAGTTTTCTATATCATGTTATTTTTATGTTTCTCTTGCATTTGCTTGAGAAAGACGTCGCCTTGACGAAAGACGTTGCTTGAGAGACGACTAGGTCGTGCGTCGCCATAACATTTCCTAGAAAACGTTTCTTGATTATATGCAGAGAAGGGGAGCTCCGAAAACCTTGTACCGACGCCTCGCTGCTTCAACCAATCAGCATGTGTAGCGAATTCGGACCGAATCAGCTGATCAGTATTCAGTTCCCTGTGCGGATGTGCACTGTGCGCGAATGTGCACTGCACGCAGCTCTGTGTCTGTGTGACACAGATCGGGTCAGTGGCCTGCACTCCAAACGGGCACGTGGCTGGTCGTAGAGGCTCGGGTCCTCTGATCACACATAGTGACCATGTTCCCGATGTTTCGTGGCCGGAGTCGGGGCGGGAGGGTGCTGGGAACACCAGCAGCCGGCGCCTCCATCCGCTCCCCCCGCCACTGATCTCACCACGCACTCAGTCCCTCGACACGCAGCCCCCTCCCCGCTCCCCCTCCCAGCGGGAGACGAGATGGTCTATTTATACAGAACAGCGGCGTCGGAGGATGGCGCGCATCTGCGCAGAGCTGGCGGCGGATGCTCGGCGCGGTCCGCCCGCCGCCGCCCTGTCGACGGCCGCTGGTAGAAGGTCCGCCCGCCGCGCATCCGTCGGCCGGCCGGGGCGCCCCTGGCGGCGTTCGACGCGGACGGCGGCGCTGTCAGAGACGCGCCTCGCGGGGGGACGCCGCGCAGACGGCGACGGAGGGACAAAGAGGGCGGAGCGAGAGGACAGGGGATCGACGAGCGGGCAGTCTCGGCTCGGAGCGCGGCGAGGAGCGGTCCGTCGGCGCCGGGACGCTTCTCCAGCAGACTTTACCCGTCACCCGTGTTTGTCACTGACTCTTCGCGTGAACTGTGACCGCACTTCTGATAGTGAGCTGCGGGTGTGCAAACAGCGAGACTCGGCGTCAGTTGAACTGAGCAGCGAGTCGTGGCGGACGGACAGAGCCCTCCCCTGGCGGGGGACGGCAGCGCGGGGCCGCGTCTGAGGCGGCCGCAGCACCTCAGTCTGACTGGAGGGAGAGCTAGGTGGACAAGATGTACTCCAGCTCACCAAGAAGCACGCCAACGCGACGGCAGTCGTCCGCCATAGAGCACATTCCATTCAGGTCAGTGTGGGGGAGGGGAGAGGGGGGAGAGAGACAGAGACGGAGAGAAAGAGAGAGAGAGAGAGGAAGAGAGAGACAGAGAGCGAGAGAGAATGAGAGAGAGAGTGAGAGAGAGAGAGAGAGAGAGAGAGAGCGAGAGAGAGAGAGAGAGAGAGAGAGAGAGAGAGAGAGAGAGAGAGAGAGAGAGAGAGAGAGAGAGAGAGAGAGAGAGAGAGAGAGAGAGAGAGAGAGAGAGAGAGAGAGAGAGAGAGAGAGAGAGAGAGAGAGAGAGAGAGAGGAGAGAGAGAGAGAGAGAGAGAGAGAGAGAGAGAGAGAGAGAGAGAGAGAGAGAGAGAGAGAGAGAGAGAGAGAGAGAGAGAGAGAGAGAGAGAGATGATAAAGAAAAAGACAATAGGAATCGGAACGGATCGGGCAGAGAAATGAAAAATTTGAAAGAAAACGAAAGACTGAAAAATGAAGAAGGGAAGGAAAGCAAAGAACGGAGTCTGCAACGAGAACGGATTTATGGGACACTGACATTCGATTCCCTACTTGATTTCGACAGAGCAAATTTTCCCGTTTCCGTTTCACGGTTATTTGGCGCCAACTTATGTAGAGTTTCGTTACCTCAACCTGTCACTCGAGCTGTGACACGTTGTCGTCGTCTACCTCGATGTTGAACGTGACTCATCTCACGGACAGATCCACGGCAACCGCAAACCGATATGGACATGCTGCGCTGACAAGCAGAGACAATCAATGTCGCTAGCGTTATCAATTGTCGGCCTTTGTAGTTTTTTTTTTAAAAGATACTTATACCTAGTACAAGTAAGTTTGTCTAAGAATATGCCTAAAAGGAAGTTAAATTTGGTAAACTTGATCAGAACTAGCTCAGTTCCCACCATTATTCTCCCCCTCCCTCTTTCCCTGTCCCTCCCTGTGTGGCATCTGCCGGATCCGTCTATGTAGAACAGAGGCGGATCCAGCTCAGAGTTTTTGGGGGTGGGGCAAACCATAACAATTTATCGATTCTTTCCATGCATCGTCCATAGGCGTAATGTTAAAATCATGCCGTTTGGGGGGGGGGGGCAAATGCCCATTTTGTCCCCCCCTGGATCCGCCACTGATGTAGAATCCTACAGCCTCTGCTCCTCCCAACCCCTGTTACCGCCTCTGCGACTGAGTCGCTCCAGATCTGCCAGAGCGAGGCGTCCCTCCGGACATTAGACAGCCCCGGGGTGCGTCTTCCCCCCACCCCTCCCCCCTGCTGCGGTGACTCAGACTCCCGGGACGACGGGACGTCTAAACAAAATGGCGTCAGCCCCGCGGGCCTGTCCAGAGGCCAGTTTTACCAAAAAATACCAGCCGGCCGCCGAAATAAAATATCCAGCCGAAAAAATAGCCGCCACACAGCCACGAGTTTCACCAACAAAAAAATTCCAGCCGACATCGGCCGGAAATATTTGTCGCCGGCAGTCAGCTGATATTTTAATATCGATAATGGTCAAGGAGATTGATAAATTATCTAAAACATGTTTCAATTAAATTTAAGCGTGTTTTTTAATGCAAATACCACAAAGATTTAGAAATATTATTACTGGGAAACATTACATATATTTTTAAGAGTTGTAACCACAAAATTTAGACCAAAATAAACTTGCCAATACAAGACCACCAAATTATAAACCTACGTCATTTATGACGGTGACGATAGGAAGCGTGCGTTTAAGTGGATCTTTTTTTCCTGTCAGCCTATTATATTTCATTTTTACAATACCTTCAACTTTCAATTAACCTTTTTGTCTGCTTTTAGTCGCACCTTGTAGAAAATAATCGTGTCGAACGTGCACGCAATGCATGGACTCCCACTCCCACCTTTTATGAGGTGGGGACTGTAATAGATGGGACCCGCTCCCGACGGATCCGGGAGTCGCACCTCTTCCCTAGATGTCAAAAGAGTGGGGAAGAAGCGGCAAACATTGTTCCCAGAGGCGCCACCTAAAACTGGACGGACAGTTCCGCTGCCGAGCGAGTGAACTGCGGTGCTGCGAGGCGGCTTCGCGCGCACTGCATTACACCTACTTCTAGGACCAAGAGGGCTAAGGATTCGCCAAGGCCTATACATATAAAGCCTTGTGCCAAGGCGAGTGTCTTACCTCAGGAAGATACCTACCCAGATTAACTGCACCGCGGTCATTGCAGGGCTGAGGGCGGTCGTTCGCCCCACTTCGGCGAGGTGGAGGTCATGCTACCCGGCTAGGTGGTTTCAGCCGATATGCAGGCCCCGTGGTCAAGACGAAGGAACGCCACACAGCAAACAATATAAGCTCCGGCCCCGCTACACTGGTCCGGCTCGTAACAATACCTGCGCTAGCTTCGTCGACCGTCGTTCGACTGCGCCCAGTACCGCTCAGTGGAGAGTCCTGCCGAACTCATCCACGTGTGCCGAGATCATTCGTTGCGCACGGACACAATCGTCCGACGGAGACCGCTTTACATGATGATCGCGTGGAGATCACCTTTTCGCCGGCTTCCACGCCCAGTCGAGCCGTCTGGCTGCGCCCCAACCAAATGATCGTTCTAAGCCTTTCGACTGGTTTGCAAAACTCGGGTCTAATATCGAAGTATTTTGGGAGTTAGGACACGTTAAATCCGTGTTCATGAACAAATATACATTATGCAACTAAAAACGCCTGACTTACTCTAACTTTTCTAGGCTGATGACAAGGTAAACACCTATTCATTGTAATATTTCTAAAATGTAAATAAATCATGAGCGATGAGCGTAAAAAAAAGATGAAAAAAAACGATCAACTAGAAGCTAGTGTGGAAATCCACTGACGTAGGTCGCCTCGTACTGGCGCAGCTCGTACAGCGGCACCGGCGTCTCCCGCACCCGGCCGTCCGCCTTGCCCACCTGCGCCATCAGCCGCTGGAAATGGCTGCGCTGCCGCTCAAACATTAACGTGACCGCCTGGCCGGCCCGGCTGACGCGCGCCGTCCGACGCACGCAGTGTGCCTTCAACAGCGCCGGGATGTCGTCCGACACGACCGCGTCCACGGCGTCCACGTCAATACCGCGCGCCATAGCCTCGAGCACACAAGCGCGGCCATCTCCGCTAGCGCGCGCCGCCGCTGGCCCGCCGGCACTGCCCCAGGGAACTCGGCCTCGCGCGCGCCCAGCACCGACAGCGGTAGCTCCAGCTGGTGCGCCGCCTCGTTCCAGTTGACCAACACGAGCGAGCGCCGCCAGTCGGGCTGTCGGAGCAAAGTGTGCATCAGCAGCGGCTTCAGCGGCTGCGGCGCCACCACGTTGAACGACTCGCTCAGCTCGGCCGGCGTGGTGAACCTGCCGACGAACTGACCGGGCAATGCGACGGCGGCCGGCCGTGCCGTGCCGGCCACCAGCAGTCGCGGCTGGAACAGCGACATTCGCTCCAGCTTCTCCGGCCTCCGGGTTCTGTGACAGGGTAGCCAAGAACGGCAGCTTCTGCAGCGGCAGGTGAGGCGCGCAGACGGCGGCGGCCGTCAGCCGGCCGGCGATGCAGGGCGGCGGGCCGTGGCCGCCGCCACCCGCTCCACCGCTTTCAGCCAGCCCGTCTCGGCCATCTCGATCACCCGGTCGGCTTCGTCGATCACCAGGTAGCGCAGGTGCGCTAGCGAGAAGCCCTCGGCGCTGGTTATGTGATCCATCATCCAGCCGGGAGTGCTCACCACGATCAGCCATGGAGACCGGGCCGCGCGGCCCCACCGCCACCAGTTGGTACCCCCCTCGTGCCACTGTGTCTCCACCCAGCAGCCGGACGCAGAGCGGCGTGTCGGCGTCGTACTGGCGGAACACGGCGGGCAGGGTTGTGCTTGACTCATGAGTCGAGTCAGAAATTTGACTCAACTCTGACTCAAATGAGTCAGATTTGAGTCGAGTCGGATAAAATGTTGAGCTGTTGAGTTGAGTCAGAGTTGAGTCGGACAAAAATATTAAGGTGTTGAGTTGAGTCAGAGTTGAGTCAGTAAAATAACTTTTGACATTGAGTTGAGTCAAAAACATTTAGGAACATGAGTCAGCTGACTACACTTTCTAGAAACAATATGTAGTATAAGTTTTTCATTCTCCCCCGCTCAACAACTTAGGCCTGGGCCTGCTGCCGGATTTTTTCACCCCCCCCCCCCGGTCAACAACTTTTTTATCTGAGTCAATTTTGAGTCAAGACACTTGACTCAACAAAAAATTTGAGTCAAGTTTGAGTCAACTCATATTTTCATTGAGCCGCTTGAGTCATGAGTCGAGTCAAGGGAAAAAATCAGCTCCTTGTTTGAGTCAGAGTTGAGTCAGGGCATTCTGAAGTTGAATGATGAGTCGAGTCGGCAAATTTTTTTGAGTCGAGCACAACCCTGACGGCGGGCACCTGAGCGGGCAGCACAGATAGCGCGCGCGCCCGGCGGCGGGCGCACCGCGGCGCCGCGCCTGCACCAGCGGCAGCACGAACGCCAGCATCTTACCGCGGCCGGCCGGCGCCGAGACGCAGAGGTCGGCCGGTGGCAGCGGCGACTCTGCGGCCGCCAGCAGCTCGGGCAGCACCGTCAGCTGCACCAGGAACACCTGTTCGATGCCCTCGGCGGCCAGCCGGGCGCGCAGCTCGGGGCAGATTGGCCGGCGCCGGCCGCCGGTCGCCAATCGGCTGCGGGTGCGCCAGCCAGTCGGGCAGCGCACGCGGTGCACGGCCTGTCGGCTCGAGCGCTCCACCTCGTCCAGCACGGTGAAGTCGTCCGCGGCGGCGTCTCCGTCCGACTCGGAGGTGTCCTCACTGTCCGTTATTGGCGACGGCGGCTGCCGCTGTGCACTCAGTCAGGTCGGCCATCACAGCAACACTCGCCGATGATTGGCGTCATCGAAACCGTGATTCACCACCGTTTTTGCAGCAGAGACTGGAAAAACCTCAGCAATAAACAAGGAAAAACTTCACAACATGCCACAGCCCGCAATTGTGCATATTGTCATTTTATTTCTCACATGACAGAAA